CCTCTCTAGCGCCTCCACGCTACAGTGCTGTAGAACTTCATACTCTCGAAACTAGTTCTTACTTCCACTAATCCCTTATGTCGTTGAGTTCTAAAGGTCGTGATTCCGGGGCTACAGCTGACATTGACGACTTCGATCGAAATCGGGTACTCTCAAACCGTCAACGACGCAACTCATGCAACTTATGTGAAATGCGGTCACATTTTACCAACTGTTACTTTCGGCAATTAAGCCCACGAATAAACATCCTGCGAATAGCTTCGAAAATAAGAGCTGGAGAGTGATTGACACCAATGACAGAAAAAAAGCAACGGCTGACTAACCGTAGATAACCTTCTTGACTTCGTCGTAGAGCACAAGTACCAGAGCGGCACCAGCACCACGGAGGACGTTGGAAAATGCGCCCTTGAAAAAACCTCTTGAACCTTCCTGTTGGTAGACCTTTTTCCAGCAGTCGAGGGTACCGGTGTATTGGATAGCATCACCACCCTTTCGACCAGCCATCATCATCATACGTCTACGGACTGTGTCGAAGGGATAGGAGGCGACACCAGAGGCCGCGGTGACAGCCTGGGCAACCATGAACTTGAGAATGATATTAGCATTCTTCTCGTCAGCAAAAATGACGCTCTTGACCGAATCGTAGAGTCCGAAGTAAGCTCCACGGTAGACGATGATTCCTTGTACAGAAACACCGAACCCTTGATAGAGGGAAAAATAGCCGGTGCGGCTAGCAGTCTTGGAAAGGCAGTTCCAGAGGCCGGTGAACTCCCTATCGGCTCCCTTGCCAACGTCGGCGGCCAGACGAGTACGAGCGAAGTCGAGGGGGTAGACGATACACAAGGAAGCGGCACCCGCCATACCGCCAGAAGCGACGTTAGCGGCGAAAAAGGACCAAAACTCCGTCTTGGGGTCGTACTTGGGGAACATCCGCTTGAAGTTGTCCTTAAAGGCGAAGTTGAACGCTTGTGTGGGGAAGTAACGGATAACGTTTGCCATGTTACCACGCCAGAGCGTCCAGAAGCCCTGCTCACTGGCAACGCGACTAAAGCAATTGCCAATACCGGTATAGCGAGCTACCTTACCCGATTGGATGTCGGGATTGGAGTCCTGAGTCTGGAGGAGCATCTTAACACGCTCTATGGGGGCAACAAGGGTCTTGGAAATACCGGCAGCCGTACCACCAGCGGCCCAATCTACCAGAATAGGATACTTATTCACGAAGGAAACCTCCTCCGATTGCTTCTTATCAGCAGACATGTAGAAAAATGACTATGTTACTGAGAATGTTGATATAACTTTCGAAAACAAGGCTGCCCATGAACGGCGATTCGGCGACTTTCAAGCGAAGCCATTTCTAACGACAATTTCTTGCCTCACACGAGCTCATATGTGTCCGACCTCCTCAACCCACCGTGAGCGTACCGCGAGAGTACATCGGTGTCAGCAGGGTTTTCCTAGTAAATTAATACCTCTGGCGTACGTGCTGACGAGCAAAATTGACGTTATTTTAATGGCGATCGCCAAGTCAATGTGCTTGCGTGTAACCGCTCAGCGCACTTAACATGCCTGAAGAAGCTGCCTTTGTCAAAAGTTACCGCTTGGTTCCGTTGAGTTTGTTAGACTGACTCAATGTGTGTTAGTACGGACTAGTGTGAGGAAATATGCACATGGTCATATTTAGGTGACAATATGAAACTTCTGGGAGGAAATTTTGGGAAATCCTTCTATTATAAGTGAGGAAACTTCCAAGCTCAGCCGAGGAAAGAGATCACATATTCTAACACTGATAAGGACGACGATGGATAATCAGCTTCTCAAGAAACATGTCCGAAGTATCAATCTTATGAGGGGTCATCCTTTTTTTGTAGTCCCATTGAGTCGTCGCGCAGTTTGTGATGAAGGAAGAAGAACCGTGGAAAGATCACGCGAAGATTCCAAACTCCTTTTATGGTCGATACGTGCTGTTAAAAGGACCGAGCCGGGTTTTGGGGCAGATATGCCACCACAAGAAATCGCCAATTTGCACTGTTTAAAGGACCGAGCCGGGTTTTGGGGCAGATATGCCACCACAAGAAATCGCCAATTTGCACTGTTTAAAGGACCGAGCCGGGTTTTGGGGCAGATAAGCCACCACAAGAAATCGCCAATTTGCACTGTTAAAAGGACGGAGCCGGCTTTTAAGGCAGATATGCCACCACTAGAGCGCCAATTTGCACTCTTCGAAGGATCTAACCCTGTTTTGGGGCAGATATGCCACCACTAAAACGCGGCAATTTGCATTGTTAGAAGGCCCGATCCCACTTTTGGGGCAGATATGCCGCCACTAGAACGCGGTGCACTATGTCGTCTGCAGAAAATCTGATCACTTTAGATTGCCATTACGAGATGCAGTTTTGGCATACCTGCCCCGTACGGAATATGCCCTTCGACGGCAACGTCTCCCGACATGATGACCCGATCTCTTGCTGTTGATCAAGTCGACTCTGTAATGGGGCCGGTATGCCATCCCATAACTGCTCTTCTCTGAGAAAGAGTATCTTGAGGTTGACGGAGCAAGATACGGATGAGGCCGGCGGCCAGTCTTGCACGGTGAGAACGAGTGCTTCTACGCTGCATAAGCATATCGTCATGCCTTTCAGTCGATACCTTCAAGCCGGGAAGAGGAAATATCGTATTGACCACGTCCCAACCTGCAAGTCCCAGAGTCCCTGGGCCCGGGGTGGTAACTTTCGCAATGGAGAGGACTTT